CTGTTACGCCGTAATACTGGTGTAGACTGATACATAGAAAAGTTTCATGTTAGACTGAAACTGGTTTTTATAAAGTGATTTTATGAAATTCCACATAGTTACAGCCCCACATTTTCTCTAACAACAGTAGTGTAGCTGATGATAAAAGGATTTTCAACCCACAACTGAATAGATATATAGATGCATAAAATTTTATGTGAATAATTGTAGAACTACTACTTCCCTTTTAATTAATTAATTAAATAATGAGAAAACATGAAACGGAAATCATATCAAGTTGTTTCAGCCACTAAAAATACAACACCGATGATGAAATAAGAATGCTGAACACATCAATGGTGAATAGTTGTCTTGTCTCCTAATGCATTTTCTAAGCTGTACACTACTAACGTCTTACTTCACGTTGATTGGCCGCATAATTAGACTTTTTATGAGCAAATATCTATTATTATTATTATTATTATTATTATTATTATTATTTAGTATGAGTACAACTAATAATTCTTTTAACATTGTCTCTCTTATACTATAACACATATATACGTTTTTAAAACAAAATTTGTCTAAAACGACTGTTTCTTATTCAAAGACAAAGAAACGAATTCATATCTAGTACTTAAAATAATAGTATAAAGGTTAAAGAAAGTCCAGCTAATCAAGTAATAGATAAACACAGTAGCATACAATCTATGCATATATATGAGACAAACTGTCTGTACTAAACCTGCAAACTGTATGAAATGCATACAAACACATATGATAATATTCAACTAACAAGACAAAAGTAGGTTGAAATGGGTTCAAAAGTATGACTTAGGGTAACTGACGGTCTGCTAATGCTAGTACAGCTCTAGACAACAACGTAGAATGTATCAGGTAGGTTGTAAGCATCTTTTCAAAATTGAATTATAGACGTCAATCTTCTACAGGAAGACTGTAAGGCCCGTTTACTACCAGGGTATTGTTGTCACCTGCTTTGTAATTGTGATAGTGTAAATGAAGATAACTCAGTCGAGTGCAGGCTAAGGGGTATTAGACAATGAGCAACACTCATTCAAAATTTGTAATACAACCGCGGTTATCCAGGCCAAAGTAGGCGGAGGTGAGTTCAAACCCTGAACATATTGCTTAAAAGCCAAGTGTTTCAGCTAACCAGACACTGAAACTGAAAGACACGATGGGAGTATGGATATCTGATCATTACTGATTTCCCATGGAAGTCTATCCAGTGAGCTAGCTATGCTGACGTTAGGAGAGAAACTTAATTTGTTTAATCAGAGCATAAACACTTCAGAGACTTAGTTACACCTTCTGAACAACAGCAGTCTATCGTAACCAGTGATTCCTACTGAAGTAAAACGCGGCTGATGTCAAGACAGTTGGAATTGAATAAACTAAAACATAGTCTCAGACAATGAATCCATCCATTCTTGATTTGAATCATGCAGAGAGAAGTTTGAGGAATCAACAACTAAAGATTGTAGACGTCATGTTTCAAAATCGTTTACAATGACATCCTTTGTTTCTTAAGGTTTTAAACATATTGCTGCTCAACTGTTCTTACTTATTTTGTTTTGCTGAAAAGATTCCGACATTTTTTCCGACTACATTTCTATCAAGCTTACCTAGCACATACGAAAAGTCAACATCTAAGATGTCCACTCTGGTTTAATAATACAATAGATCGTAACTTATGTGACATCAAGTAGATGCGATGAAATCCCTTATAGTAGTCAATAGACGAAAGACCTGGAGTCTACTTCGGATCGCCGAAGCCGTCACTATTCGATGAGTTCAACTGGAATTCAAAAGGAGATAGTTGACAATTTATTATTAACGTGGTAACTGGTGACCCTTCACCTCATATTACCCAAAAATATTTTTAATACATTTATTTTATGCTTACTCATGGTGACCAGCGTTTTATTTTAACTGCATTTGTTATTATTACGATGGTCTTATCACACTGATCATTTTGCTAACATGATATTTTCACGTGATTGCGCAACCCCTTCTACTTTCTTATTGCTGTTGATTTTTTCTCTATGCTGCTGAAAATTATATGGTAGCATTTTTTGAGGTTCCACTTTGTCGCCCCCTGTTTCGTTTTGAGATAGAAAATCATTAACTTTCAAATGACTAAGGTGGGACCCAGATACTGAAATTTTCAACTTCAATAAGTTACATCAATCGTTTGTTATGCGGTAATGCAACAGGTATAACAACCGACGGATAATCACGCGCTACACGAGCTGACTGATGGTGAAAATATATTAGAATTCCATCGTGAAAGTTAACCATAAATGAGATGTCTGATTACGTAATATAGCTACAAGTTACTGTTGGGGATGCCTATATCCCTTATATTCTATGCTTACAGTTTGAGTATATTTGAACTATTTTACTTAGCGCTCTTTTTCCCGCGTATGAAACAGACCTCATACAACGTGCTTGCGTTCTGATTGGCTCTTGTTTCTTTACATGTACTAATTGTTCCTTGCCTTTCAAGGTTACTGTAAACTCTATAAATAAGGTCCGTTTTCACTAATAAATGTTTTCAGTCCGACATACTATAAACTCATCTAATTTCCGGCCTTTTGATTTCTCTTTGCGAATCACTCGGGTTGAACCGTCTCAACCTTCGACTATCAATTTATTTAAGTATTTTCGTTTGTTCTCATAACTTCACCCGAAACAGCCGAACAAAAGTTCAATATTGAGAAAAAGTTGAAGAGTATAATGCATGTAAGCAACTGGAAAATCTAGACATAAAAAACGACAAAGAACGTAGAAAAAGTGTTCAGAGGATTATTACACCTTGCAACATCGTTTAGTGACTTCGTGGATTGGTGTGATTCTTTTATCTGACTAAATTAAGGTTAGTTGTACTGTACTTGACTTGGAATTACGAAAAACGCCCATGATAATGCAAAGTTTATTACCTGACTCTTTTTTCGAGATCTTGCATCACGATTGCTTATTTAACTGCTCCACACGCAAAACATATTAAAAAGATAACGACCACCGTATCCCTCATCTTCAAGAGTTATGATGTACACATATACACCCTTAAGTTTCTCCGTGTATGACATGTAGTTGACTTGCAGCACGCAGACAGTATTGTCCTCCTAGGTGAAGGCACTGACAAGATACGGGGTCTTCTGGACATGTTGATCAGAAACCTGAGTATGCTTGGCATCTGTCAAATGCAAGTTGGATGCTGCAGGACTGGTCTGCAACTAATTCCAGTTTGACGATAGGGAGTGAAGTGGTGGAATATGCCGACTACTTCACTTACTTGAAGAGTTGGGTCAACCAGAACGGGATGGTTGCTGACGAAATATCCGCTCGAATACACAAGGCCCGTTTGGCATTTGCCAATATGTGTCATCTTTCGAGTCGGCGAGATAAATTACCTAATAAAAGATGATTTTACTGCACTTCAATCCCCTCTGTCCTATTATAAAGCTCCAAGGTATAGCTTTTGGAAGTAGAAAATATGAAGAGGTTTCAGATTTCTGACTACAGATATCAACAGAACACTACTCGCGTATGGTGGAATCATCAAATGATCAGGTAAAGAGTACTAGGCAAAACAGATAAGGTTGTGAACCTTCACCAGCTGAGGTAGCTTTGACATGTATTGCATATGCCAAGTCACCGTCTACCTGGATATGCAATCCTAGGGTAAGTTGGATTAGGTTGAAAGAAGGTTCAGAGTTGTCAGATCAAGACGTAGCACCAATCAATGAAATCTCTGACAGTCTGGGCAGTGTGGAGAGGTGTAGACTACCTGGCTGGGGTCCTCGAGACGATAGGAATTGGTGACTGAGTACTCTTGGTGACATGATCTAAAATCACTACAATGACGCAGATGCATTCGCTCTGTGATATCCTTTAAAGCTTGGATATTTTGAAAAATCTCTTCCTCCTATGCACCTTTGTCTACTTTGATATCACTTTTTCTATCCCCTTGTACTTTACATGCTGGTGTTAAATGTGGCAGTGTGAACCGATGCACTTCTGTACGAGGTTATACGCTGGTTTTGTCTGTCTGTCCATGTACAACATATGAACAAGCTAATTTAAAAACTGTGACCATCCGTCGATTGGTCAACGATACTTGGGATGCGTTTTTCACCACCTAAGTGCAAATTATTGCTCCACGATTGGTCCTCAACAGTGCCTCCTCGGCTAACAGTAGACAGTGTAGTGGTTGAGTGTGTTGACCACTTCACTTACCTCGCAAAGAGGATCAGCCCTGATGACTCAGTGGCCGGTGAAATCTCTGCACGGATACAAAAAACTCAGCTGGCTTTTGCCAACTTACGCTACCTGTGGTGCCACCGTGACATCCGATTGTCTACTGAGGGTGTACTGCACAGTAGTTCACTCTATTCCACTACATGGCTGTGAAATATGGCCATTTAAGGTGGAAGACATGAGAAGGCTTCAGGTGTTTGATCACTGTTGCCTTCATAGTATAGGCCGTATTCCGTGGTGTCAGCACGTGAGTAATGCAGAAGTCAGGAGTAGAGTTTAAAGGGAAAGGTAAGTCAGCTGACACGGTTGTGAACCTTCATCGACTGAGATGGCTGGGATACGTGTTACGTATGCTTAGTCGCCGTCTATCTCGTTGCACAATGTTGGCCGAAGTAGGTCCAGGCTGAAAAATGGCTCGAGGTGGCCAGACTAAAACATGGGATCAATGTGCAAAGTCTTTAACTGTTGGTTTGAGTCATGTGGGGCGATGCAGGCTAGCCAGTTGGGGTCTCCCGAACAGGAGAAACTAGTGGTTGGAGACTCTAGGTGATATGGCTCAGAACCGATGTCAGTGGTGCAGATGTATACACATATTATCCTCATCTTAATGACGCTTTAACAGTAATCGAAAAAAAATCAATTCTCAAAAAGGAGATATAGGAGATTGTGTTTGGCACACTTGAGGTACATTCTATCTAAGCTTTGAATTCAATTTCACACTAATAATATTAACTTACTTGATATTGAAGTTTCTGTTTTCATTGGTGTTTGTAGCGTTTCTTGACAATCTGAAGGAGGTAAAGAAAGCTGTTGTTGTACAGTTGATGCCGGTGGAGCAGAAGTCGGTGTTCTTGCTGAACTAGGAGTTAGTGGAGCAGCAGAACTTCCAGAACTACCGATTCCACTGATACCATGACCACCAGAAAAGGCAGGTGATGCACTTTTTGGACCATTAACACTCATATTTACAATATTGTTCAAGTGTAATTTATCATTATCAACTGATGATAAACTGATAGATTTATGAGTATTACCCAACTGACGTCTTTTCAACTCAGCTAATTCATTCATCTCTTTTGTACGTAAATAATTTGAATCTAATTCTGTGTTTGGTGTATGCAATTCCAAGGCATCAAGACTTTCTTTGACTAGGTCAAACAGATCTTGTTTTAAGAAACAATATAAATCATATTCTTCTTCATTCCGACTTAATGACATAATAAATGCTAGCCATTGTTCAGCTGTTGGTCCAACTGCTATATCCCATTGAGATGAAATACCAGTCTGAGGACGTTCACGATATAGGCGAAGATCTAGTTGATACAATAAAAAATAACAATGCATGAATGTGTAAGTATACAAAATTTCAATATAAATAGTATGATAAGATCACGAAATAATCGGGTACTCTTTTATCTGCATGTTAGTATCAATCTCCTTGTAGCTTTTTTTTAATCCCAAGGCATAATTCCGTTTCTTTTTATCGAGTTAGTATGTTGTAAAAATTTGGAAGTTTCCGGGGACCATTGGATTCTAACTGAGTGACTTAAAGGTAACACGTTCCCTACGAAACCTGAAGGTCACGAGTGTGATTCTTGTAGGGTCATGAACGAACACTGACTGGAGAGTCTTATATCAAGACGAAACAGCTGTTCAGTGCTCCCAGGTTTTCAACAGTTCTCCAACCGATGTCAGTCTGCGATGACTATCAACCAAACATTTTTTTACAACTTGCAGATTGACGATATGTATATGTAGAAGGCACTGTACATTCTTCATTCCTAAACATCTCCCAATAATCGAGGTATAGTAGTGATTACTAATATTTATTTATTTGTACACAAACTCTGTACAGGATAGATGACAAGAAATGCAACACTCATATAGCATGTTTCAACAATACTAAAGAAATAAAGAAGGGAAGGGGATATACAAAGACAAGAATAATCAGAAAAAATTAGCAGTGAGTCATTGGTTTAGGGAGATAACTTCCAACCAATGGGTGGCGGGTTCAAACACCAGCCCACCTACCAAGGTTTGGGCAGCTAGGTCGTATGAATACCTCTCACACAACAGGTGTGGCCCAGTGCCTAATGCAAGAATGTCGACAAGGTGACTGAGAGGATTCTGATTTTTTCTCAAGCAACCATACATTATCTAGTCCTTTCGACCAGCACCATCTTTCACGTAGAGGAGAAAAATAAGACTTCAATGCAATCAACTTTTGTCTTGACACCCAGTCATATCTGGTGTTTCATGCTACTAAGTTGCTTGATCTCTGGGATATAAAATCAGGTAATTCCGTGTTGATGCAACACAACTAGTCTTTAGCTAGCTCAGAGTTTTCATCAAAAGCTAATTAAATATTTGAGTCTTCAAACCAGTTGCATCACCAGCGATAGTCGGCGTTACATTTATTCAAGTCACTGAAAAGCTAGTAATTTATTTCTCCAATTAAATCACACTGTAAATGACACGAGTATTAGTGAATCTATCACAATCATCTGGATATAAATATGTACGAACTCAGCGAAAATGAAATCCATATTCATGGTGTACGTAAGCCTGTTATGTGAGAACTGGCTAGTGATACTACCTAGCTGCTCAAACCCCAGCAGGTGAAGAGATGTTCGAGCCCGTGACCCAATGGTTGGAAGTCATCTCCCCAAACCAGTGAGCTATAGCTCCACATGAATATGTACAAGTTCATGCATGAAGCAATGAGCCACATCTTTCGTACAGCAGCCGAGGAGGATATTATCACTTGACTACGTAGGAATTTACAGACAAACTGTAGTTCGAGTCCGTAGCCAGTGGATTGATAGCTAGCTATTTACATCAATGAGCCATAACTTCAAGAATATATCCATGGTAATGCAAATATTATCAAAACAGTAAAAAGGTTAAACATTTTTATCGAGTTCCCGAACTTGTATCAAATAACAGTTGGTCAATAATTGTCCATGTTAGATTCAAGAATAAATCTAATAGAAATATATTCAGAAATCTTGTACAACTAGGCAGTGAACCAGACCTATTGTGTGAGAGCTAGTCATACTACCCTATCTACTCAAACCAATGAGCTACAACTGAAGAACTCCGCATAATGAATTTGTTGACATTCATTTTTATACATAAAGTTTACCTGTTCGTCTGTCGAAATGACTATAAACAAGAGTAGCAGTTTGTTTACCAAACAGTAAACTTATTCAAGAATTTTCTCATAGATGAAGGTAAACTAGGAATTTTCTAGAATAATCCGTTGTATCACCTGGTGAATAACGATGAGGTCAATAATGGTGGTTTATGTTTTTATTCGTGTCTATAGATTACCTTCATCTTAAATAGAAAATATGTCCAAAAAATAACAAATACAGCAGTTTTATAAGATCTAGTGAAAACTGCTGAGAATGTTTAGCCTTTGAAAATTCAACGGACTCTTAAATCTTCTAACCACCTTGAAAGGTCTATTTAACGAATAAGTGTGACCTTTATAACAATATGGCTCTTTTTCAACATACTTTTTTATAAAACGGTAGGCTAACAAAATTCAGACAGGGTTATTTCAGTGAGAAATCGGGTGCACGCGTGTCATGTTTATAGTTTTTCAGCTAGTGAACAAACACTTTTAAATACAACAACCAGTTAGTCAGTACTACTACTACTACTATGGGGAAAAGACAACAATATGAGTCATCCACACACTGCTAACTGCTTCTTTGCTGTACTAACGTCTAATCAACCAATCATGGTGTTAGTAAACCAGACAGTCGATTAGACTATAGTAGTACACTCATTTTTAGCCAGTCAGTTGATTTACTAATACATGCAAGTGTTTGTATGTGTACAATATTTTGTTGTTCTCGTTTAAAAGCCAATACACATATCTACTGGACAAATAGCATATTGAGTGTAACAAAAAAAGAGAATGGTGGTAAAACAATCGTTAATTTATGAAAAAGCAGAAGACAACGAGAGAGGAACTGTGACAGGATAAACTTGTCGTTAAAAATAAATAAATAATCACAGACCACAGACCAAAATACAATAATAATAATGATAAATGCTTTTGTGTACTACTTCTCTAAGTATTCATTTCTTTATTTTAGGAATGAACATGTTTTCTCTCATTCTATATATATATATATATATATATATATATATATATATATATATATATATATATATATATATATATATATATATATATATATATATATATACGATTGACATGTTTAGACTGTACATTTCATACGTGAATGAGTGATTAGACAATTAAATAAGACAAAGAATATTATTGACTATGAGTATATCAAATGGATTGGAGTTAGATTCAATACAGCTTAAAGAGAAATTAAAATGAAGATTTCCACAGAACACACACAAACATATTAGGCACTATATTAAAATGTTAAGTGTCCACACTGATTGTCTTAACACTGAGTAAAGCTAAAAAGTATATTTGAAAAACTTCAACAATTGCTTCAACACTTGATGAAGGCTACTAGTGGAGTTCAGGACGTGCGTTCAATTCTATTTGAAACTCTTTAGCTGGGTATACCTAATTCTCAATGAGTAATGTTGTTCCCACTAAGATTCGAACCCAAAACCGATAGCAACTCTTTATGTGAAGACCATAGTCTTGATGTTATTATTATCGAAATAAAATTACTGGCAAAATCGAGGCATCCGTGTAGGTATCTATATGCCAATAATGGCTGTTTGCTTCGGTCCAATCAATAACACCAAGTCCTTCAATAGTTTATTTTTAAAGATCTTAATGGATAGTCACTCAGAAATACTAGTTACTGGTTGAGATATTATGTCAGGGTGTGCAAAATTTAAACTAGCTTTAACAAGTCATCATATTAGTTAATCAAGAAACCTTTTGTGATCACCACACAGGAGTTGATGTGACATATTTCCATAGACTCTAGGATGCATATCAATTTCATGTCTAACTAGATTTCGTGAATAACAAAGCCAATTAAAGCAACTAAATATGTTTCAGATATGTTCTTCGACGCATCAACTACAGTTTAACCCTTGGTCACGTTCTAGAAAACAGGAATACTAGAACACAAATAAACCTATTTTCTTTGCTTTTATTAAAGTGACTTTGAATCTGTAAACTGCGAGGTAGTTGAAACTGTATGCTGGAGGAATTAGTTAAGCTCAAATGAAAATTTGTGTTGTGCATATTCGATATACAATAAAGCGAACAATGATTTAAAAGAACTGCGATTAATAACAAACTAACATAATGGTATGTAAGATAGTCAACATTTTCTAATAGAAATAATGGTTACAAAAATATGCCATTTGAAGAGGCTAGCTGATGACGAAACTTCAGCTCAGATATATGGGGCTCGTTTGGCATTTGTGGCGTTGGCGAGATATCTGACTATCTATCAAAGGACAAGTATACTGCGCTGTAGTACGTTTTGTCCAGCTGCGAGGCTGTGATTCAGTGGTTTAGGGAGATGACTTCCAACTACTGGGTCAAGGGTTCGAACCCCGCCCCATCTACCGAGGTTTGGAGGGCCAGGTAGTTGCATAAACCCTCACGTACTAGGTGTGGCTTATCGCTTACTGCATAGAAGTTCGCAAGATGGCTGAGTGCGTCTCCATCCTGCTGTAAGACTGAGACATGGTCGTTAAACGTAAAAGATAGGAAGCGGTTACAGGTTTTTGACCATAAGTGTCTTCATATATTATTTGAATATGGTGGAACCACCTTCTCAGTCGAAGGGTTCTAGACAAGACAGGTAAGTTGGTCCATAAGGTCGTGAACCCTCATCGATTGACGTGGCTTGAACAGGTACTGAACATGCTAAGCCACCACCTACCTCGACGTGCTATGCTGAAGAAAGTTGACAGAGAGTTCAGGATGCCAAGACCAAGACATAGCACCAGTCAATGAAGTCTTTGATTGTTCGTTTACGCCATATGGGGAGATGAAGACTACCGGGCTGAGGTCTCTGAGATCGTAGGAATCAGTGGTTGGGGACTCTTGGTGATATGGCTGATCATGCCACTTTGCAACTGAAATGGTCGCTTACAATTAGAATCCCACTGATGGATGAACTAATATTTTCTACTAAATAGATGAAATTTCCTGAAGTTAACTGGATAAAATACATCAACTCTGAAATAACATAAAGATCGCCTCAAGATTCAGTCTTGTTTGGTGGTTAAATGTCGGATACAAAGTGTTCAATACACGTTTTGTAGTGACGATACCAAGACAGTGATTCACTGCAATCTTTTATACTCATAATTATACGTGAATATCAGGGAGATGGAACCTTTCAAAGAACAGTATCAGACCAAAGTTACAGCTGGTCAGCACTAACTTTAAGCATAAAGAGAGATACTGTCTCAAGTGATATCGACCGACATCAAACCAAGAATGGACATACAACCTACGTTGAAGTCCAACCTATGACACTTCATAGCACCACACAAAGAGAAAGTTAATACAAAAAGAATTATATTGACATAGGTAAAAGTGTAGTATAGTGAGATAAATATCAAAATGGATACTTACCATCCATATAGTAATAACTACAACCTTGAGCATCCTGACCAGCTTTAATGAGTACATTTACATCTTCAGCTTCAGTAAACACATTATTTCCATCTCTGGATCCAATATCTCCAGAGGCAAATAAATCTGAATTATCTATTCGATCGAATCCTGTAGATCCAGGTCCATTACTATTACCACGTACTCCATTCGACATGGAACTATTGAAACATGTTGTAAAATTAAAATCTGGTTGTTCATCATAAACTGATTCAATTAGATTATCTAATAAAGCAGCTCTTGCAGCTGGTCCTAACTGATGTACTAATTTCCCATTACGATGACGTTGCATATTAATTCTATATGATGTACGTTTATCAATAGCAAATCGATCAAGTGCTTGATCAATATTAGCCATACAAATCTCTGGATCATCATGATTTAAAAATCGAAGTATACGAGCAGCAAGATCACAAAATGCTACAGGATCTGGATCTTTTAATACTTTTTGATATAGATCCTATAATCAAACGAAAAAACAGAATTATAAGGATGTATTATAACCGGTAAAATTCAATCAATTTAAGAGATATTCTTTTGTAGATACAGTTTGCCACAATCTCGTCAGTATACGTTAAAATATAACCAAGAATATATTTAGGACTCATAGAGAGTAGTGTTTGTTATGATTGGCGGTATATGTAACGGTACAATGCTCTGATTCGATACGATTAACGATAGAACAATGACTTCTCAACTCGATATTCAGCTGATACCAGAAGAAGACGATGACATTGAAAGTATATTTACTTCAACCGAATGATGATAGCTGAAAACTCAATCGTTTATATATCCTTAGATGGCTTTAGCCAGGGAAAATAAAACAGTATATCAAAAGTGTAAAATGGACCAATCGGCGTTTGGTATCCTAAACTATGGTAAAAATAAGTCACATTGCATGGCGTAAAAAGGGTGCAAAAATAAGGTTTAAATTTTACAATGATTTTCAATGGTTCACCAACTGATGCCAGTCCATGATGAATACTACTTCTGAATTAAAAATCCCCATTCATCTCAAAAAAATACATTACTGTATAGTGCTCATTAGTAACTTCCTTCCAGAAAGCTCTAATGAGAAGCCGTGACCTGTGGGGTCAACCAGTCGGATGTGAAGTGGATGCTAACTGAAGACCTTGGGTGACAGTCACGCTATGTCGTGAATTGACAAAAGTTGGAAATTGTGAACCATTGGGAACCGACCCAGTGGCTGAATGGTTAACGCGTTCGCCGTGAAACCCGAAGGTCCTGAGTTCGATCCCTAGCCGAGTCGTGGGTGCGTACTACCAAGGAGTCCCATACTAGGAAGAAACAGCTGTCCAGTGCTCCCAAATTTTCAATGGTTCCCTAACTGATGTCAGTCCATGATGAATACTACTTCTATATTATAAGTTAGTTTTTCTTAGGGATTAGGCATCCTTCCTGTGTTAGCATCAAAGTCACTTAATTTTTAATTCAACACTAACATTATTAGAATTGTATAGGTAACTTGAAGGTGATGACTGAAGTAGAGTCTAAACTATAAATTAGTAATAGTTTATGATAGCGAAATAAATCTTCACTTTTAATGAACTCCAAAATCATCACCATCAACATTTTCATAAAACCTTATATTTCTAAGGACACCTTAAATCATTCAAATAATTCATTTTAGCTATATTAATAATGATGGATAGTTACTATCTATTAAGACAGAGAATGAAAAAAAAAACACATTTCTGTTAAAAACAACAACAAAACACAACTAGATTCGCATATAAAGTACATCAAATGCTTAAACATTGATGTCTCTCTCTCTTTGCTCACTAACCAACCATCAGTTATGCTGAACTAACTAATCGATGAATTTGAAAAAGTTCAATCAATAATCATATCATAATGCATTACATTAATTTAGTCAAATACTGAATAAATCCTAATGTATATAAATCTTTTTTTGTGTGTACATCATACGAACAGTCAATCATTGTATGCAATCACTATTTTCTTTAATTAAAATATTGACCTTTCTTGAAAAATAAGGAAATTGATGAAGGAAACTCAACTATCATCTCTGTATTATTTGTTAGTATTGTAAATGTTTTTTTTGAGATCATGTGACTCACATTCATACATGTGACTATTTTAACACATGTACATTGATCTAACACAACAAAAAAACAACTGATGTTACGTCAGCTCTCAGTCTTCTTGTAGTTAGTTAATTCATTAAATCTAACACATTAAATTATATGAGTCAGGAAATACAATAGTGTATAACAAGTTAGAAAGAACGGAATAAAGCACTTCGTTCAACAACATGTATTTATTATAACTGCTTGCTTTATACCATTGGGAAAGCAGAAGGACCAGATGGAATTCCTCCACAAGCACTGAAACCAGACTCAGAGACAACAGCGGACATACTCACACTACTATTGCACAACGCCTGGAAGGAAGGAAAGGTACCTGCCCAATGACTGGAAGAAGGGCTACCTTGTCAAACTCTGAAAGAAGGGAGAACTAAGAATTTACAAGAACTGGCGCCAAATCATGCTGCTGTCCACAACAAGCAAACTATTATGCCACATCATCCTGGTGAGACTAAACGATGCGCTGCATTCAAAATTACGACTGGAACACACTGGCGCGCTGGCCGGCTGACTGGCTTCAGGAAGAACAAATCATCTGCCGATCAAATTGCAACCCTACGCTACGCATCATCATTGAACAGAACAGGGAATACCAGTCAACTCTCTCCACCTCAACTTCATCCACTTTGAAAAAGCCTTCGATCGAGCATTCGACTGATAAGTAATTTGGCAACAGCTGCTTCAACACTACGGCTTCAGTGACACAAATCTTTATCAACCTCATTCAACAACTATATGACGATGCCACGTGCCAAGTGATTCCCAACGCAAAGCTCACTGATGCCTTTGAAGTCAAGACAGGAGTAAGATAAGGCTGACGCATACTATCACCAATCATCTTTCTCACTGTGGTCAACTGGACTGGACTGGATCATGCAGCAAACTGTGAAGAGCGAGGAGATGGGCATACGCTGACCGGACCGATTAAAAGAGCCTAGAAGATTTGGATTTCGCCAACAATTATGATTTATGCCTAATGTCTTGTAGCACAAGCTCGAAGATCTACAGGCGAAAACTAACAAGTTGGCAGAAGAGGCAAGGCAGAGAAAATGGTACACCATTCAAGTGAATGTAGAGAAGACAGAGGTGGAGGTGATGAAGATACCCAATAAACAACAGCATCAACAACAAACACCAATTACCATCAACGGGAGAAGCCTAAAGGAAGTAGTCTCTTTCACCTACCTGCCTAGGCAGGGCAACATCGTTTCAACTACAGGCAACACAGGCACAGATGAGGATATCAAAGTCAGGATCGGAAAGATAGCAAGATAAGTCTTCATTAATCTGAAATCCATGTCGAGGTCTACTGCACTGGATGGACTCAGCATAAAGCGTGAACAAGATTCGGAATATCAACACTAATGTCAGTCAAGTCAGTACTTGTTTGTGATGGTTCAGAGACTTGGTGGCGCGTCACGAAAAACATTCCCAACAAACTACAGACATTCATCAACAGCTGTCTACTCTCCATACTGAAGATTAAATGGTCAGAATAATAAGAATAAGCAACAGGGAAGTCACTCTGGCTGTCTGGCTGGCAACGAACCAACCAATAATCTATCACTCAACAAATATGCATAAGAAAGTGGAGATGGATTGGATTGAGCATACACTGAGGAATCAAGCACCAGGCCAGGCTGTTGAATGGAATCCAAAGGGGAAACGACGAGTTGGGCGTCCCGGCTGAGGGTGACATGGAGGAGATTGTGTGAGGAAGAAATGGAAGGTTGTGGGCAGTCGTGGAGCCATGTTCAAGAGACTACAGAGAAGAGAGTGAAGTGGCGACGTGCTACTGAAACCCTATGTTCCACTAGGAACCCAAAGGACAAATAATATAATAATAGTATACCGTCGTTGATTGGACTCAAGTGATCGGCCTCTATTGGTCATATGGGTTCCTGTGCGGATGGCTAGATACTACCTGTGTTCTATTTATCGTAATGATGGGTAGTGGCTAGCGGTGAAATCTAGGATGCGCGTTTCGCCCTGTTTGGGACTTGTCAGCTGGATGTAGCTGCCTCCCAGTGAGTGATGTTATTCCCAATAGAGACCGAACAATTCGGTCCAATCAACTACGGTATAATACGAGCGATCATACTAAAACTATACCTGTTTCACAAAAAGTGGCTATTGAGGCTTGGTGGTGTAGTGAATAACGCTCTGGCGTCTGAAGCGATCGCTCCTGAGTCCAAACCCCGGCGGGAACAACACTCACTGGAAGGCAGGTGCATCCAGCTGACGAGTCCCAAACAGGATGAAACGCGCATCCTGGATTTCACCGCCAGCCACTATCCATCTTAACAAGCATTTATTCTTGAAAGATGAATGACGCAATAATAAAAGCAAAGTAAGCTTATAAACAGCTATACAGCGATATCCGTATTAGGGCTTAATATATTTGTATTGTTTGAGCTTTAGGGATACCACTATGGGGGCGAAAGCAGGATAAAACACACGTCTAAGGTTAAACAAATATGTTAAGTATGCAAGGAATGCATTTCGGACGATTGTAGAAGAGGTGTTGAAAAATTGTACACTGAATAACCGAATGAAACAAATTTCGAAACCATAACATGTACGTTCAGTGATTTGTCGGTTTATTATCCAATTCACTTTCAAGTAACGGGTCATGGGTTCAAATTCCACCTCACCTGTTCCATTGCATACAAGTGAAATTGGTAGTCTAGTACATAAATCTACCTTGAATCAAGTGGGATTATTACCACTACTCAAGTATGGATAGGTAAAAGCCGTACATACAAATAATAATCGGTAAAACTTGATCATCTTTAAGTAGTTTACATATCAAAAAGCCACTGAGGAGTCCCATACGAGAACGAAATAGCTATCCAGAGCTCATAATGGTCTTCCAACTGATGAAAAAAAGCTATTTATAGATACCTGTACCCTCCCGTTCGTATACCGCGTCGAACTTGAGTGATCTCTGCTGATAGATGAGCTCCTATGCGGATGCCTCGATACTACTCGGATATCCATTACACCGTTATCTATTTCATGGCTAGCGGTGGAATCCAGAACGCGCGTTTCGTCCTATTCAGGACTCGTTAGCTGGGTGTACCTGAACCACAGTGAGCGATGTTGTCCCAACTGAGACTCGTTTCAAAGTATTATCCACTAGGCCAATGGAACTGCGAACCACCAAGTAAGCTACAAAAAAAGCTGTTTCTGATATCTCATAATTGATTTATTCGTGAATATATGTTATTCTTCTTTTGCACTGCGGAAGTTATTCGCTTCTATAATTATTTGTAGAAATAACAGTAGTACTGAACAATAGATAAATAGTACTTGAATGATATTCCAAATT